TTTCAGAAGAGATTTTATAGAAAAGAAATGGCTTTTTTATTAAGCTTGTAATAACCCCGATATATAACTTGAAAAATTACATTTCATTTAATAAAAGTATTATTAATTTTCTATATTTTATAAAGTATTATTTGTTTATGTGTGTGTGTATATATATAGGATATTTCATTATTATCTTGGTTCTATAATGTATTTTCATGTCTTTCCGATCATTATCAATGTAATAAATGATAGCGATAGTGATCGGAATTGATTAAGAAAAATGCGAATTTTAAGGCACGTCTCAATTTTAAAAATGGAGTTTTTAGTAGAAGGAAACGTCGAATGGCAATTAAAATTAAATATCAAACCTCTTAACAACGGACACTGATCGAGACATTAAAAAATGGCCGCTGTTCGGATGGTCGTTCTTAAGAGGTTATTTCGTATTTTGTTCAAGGGGAAAGTTCCTGAAATTATGGCCGCTGTTGGGAGGTAGTCGTTATTATAGGTTCGTCTATACAATTACTAGAAAATAGTTCCGTAGGGATGCAAACTTTTGAAGGGCGATACCGTAGATTTAAACACTGTTTTTTTAAGGTTATCACGAATTTAAGAGTACTCTTTTAGTGTCAATTTTTAGGGGAATTTAAAACAAAAATAATTCTTAAATTTAGAAACTAGTAAAGGAACTGCACCTTAAATTCCAAACAATAAACTAAACACGTCTCCTCATTACAGTAAAACTTTCTGAAGAGTGAAAAAATTTCTACAATAATTTCAACGTCATTTTATAAATTTTAAGATCTTATTTTTGCCTTAAATACAAGAAAATCCTTTAATACTACGATTAAAATACGATATAAAAACATTATCGTATATTTTAAATCATTTTTTATATAAAAAAAATTGCCATTTTCTGAGGTAGATACGAGAAGTTTGATCAGAAGTTACGTCACTTTGACGTCGAATTTATTTATTTATTTAAAATAAATAAATAAATAAATGATTCAAATACGTAGTGAAGATGTTTTAGATATTATTTTTCGATATTTTAAAAGTCCATTAGTTAAAAATATTTTTTTATAAAGATTTTTTAAATTCATTTAAACTTCTATAATTGAGTCTAAGAGGAATTGATTTTATTTTTTTTATTATTCTTAATTTATGTCTAATCTTAAAAACGTTATTTATTTATATAAAATTTTTTAATAATTGCTTGAAAATATTTTATTATTATTATTATTTTTTTTTAGAAGATATTTTGGAAAGAAGCATTACAGTTTTTACTATTCCCTAGATTTTTCTATTCTTTTGTCAACAAAAATTTGATGTAATCGTCTTAAAAATTCGGTATATTTGTAGAAAAAATTTCAAATCCACAAATTTAATATTTTATTTTATGTAAATCTTTTTTTTTTTAAATTTGTTCTGTCTGATATAAATCTTTAGTAATTCTTATATAAATACGAGGTTCTGTTTAAATAATCATTTTGCCTTGATAAAATTATAGGTGAACGTATTTATTTATAAATATCTATTAAATTTAAATTTAGGATGATGGATCTTCCGTCATCATCATCCTTAATTTAAATTAGATACATATTTCTACATAAAGTTGAATAGATGAAAACTCATCACCATTATCCTTAAATTAAATTTAATAGATATACATAGTTTAACAGATGAATGTTCCACAATCATCATCATCATCATCATCCTTAATTTAAATTCTATAAATATTTCTACAAAGTTCAACAGATGATCGTTCTATCATCATCATCTTCATCATTCTTAATTTAAATTCAACAGATGTTTATGGATAAATGTATATATTATCTGTGTCTCTAGATATCTTAATTAAGGATGTTGGACTCTTCTTTATCATTATCATCATCAAATAATACAAAATATGTTGTAAGAAGATTTTTTAGATTAAGATATAAAACGAGCATTTCATACGATTAAACACGTTAAATTTTAATTAAAACAGAATAATTTCGTGATAAACCCATTAAATAAAATACACTTAAAATGAATTTTTAGGTAATTTACATAGAAAACTTTTTGTCGGTTCCATAACTTAACATATAGGGTGGCCCAAAACTCGATTAACCACTGTAAAAAAGACCAGATTATTGCCACATTTAAACACTTTATTACTTATAAATTTCACAAATTATAATGCTTTAAAGCATAGATTTTTTTGAGCCTTCCGCTTGGTCAACCGACTTTTGGGCCGCGGTGTATAGATATATATTTTATTAAATTATATTCGAGAAATTTCAATATATTACAGCATCTAAATGGCTTGACGTATATATACTGTATATATATATCAATATATAAAAAAAGGAAACGGAAACCCGACAAATAATTTGATTAAGAAAGAAAGTGAAGTAAATGAAATTCGTAGAAATTAATAGCATTCTGTCGAAAGATCATTAGAAGGACAGAAAAAATAAAAAAAAAAATAAATCTAAAATTATCATTAAAACAGTTTTAACTTAAATTGAGTGAAGGATGAATTTATTACTTTTTATCAACTAACTTATTATGTAGATGATTCCGAGAGAAACGATTAAATTAATTCGCTTTAAATTATTTAACATTTATCTAGATCGATAGAAGGAGAGAATCTTGCTAAATATATTAGCAATTAAATTATCTAGATAATTCCCTAGATAATTATCTTAAAATATGATTCTTCGTAATGTCGAATTACTAAAGTCAAAACTAATTAGTTTCCATCATTAAAGTATTATTTGTTTATGTGTGTGTGTATATATATAGGATATNAATAGCATTCTGTCGAAAGATCATTAGAAGGACAGAAAAAATAAAAAAAAAAATAAATCTAAAATTATCATTAAAACAGTTTTAACTTAAATTGAGTGAAGGATGAATTTATTACTTTTTATCAACTAACTTATTATGTAGATGATTCCGAGAGAAACGATTAAATTAATTCGCTTTAAATTATTTAACATTTATCTAGATCGATAGAAGGAGAGAATCTTGCTAAATATATTAGCAATTAAATTATCTAGATAATTCCCTAGATAATTATCTTAAAATATGATTCTTCGTAATGTCGAATTACTAAAGTCAAAACTAATTAGTTTCCATCATTAGATAATGAGCAAAACGGGAGTTGGTTTTCTATATACTGTAATACTATTTTAAGTAAATCAATTATATTTTAAATAATAAATATTTAATCATATCTACTAATCCATTAACATTATTTAATGATTAATGTCGAAATTGTCATGTTACCGAGTGTTAAAAATTAACGAATGAAGATAAAATATTTGAGAAAGTTTTAAGTATAATTTAATAAAAATTCGTGTAAATTTATGTCATCCAGTTTATTTTTATCTTAAAATATCACGTCTATATTATCTAAAAATTTAATTTTCATTTATTTTACTTAAAAATTTCGATAAAATTCGTTAAAATAGTTTCGGAAGTTACGCACTTATCTACGTACTTAAGCTAAAGTTTTTACTAGGTTTTAAGTAAAATTTATCGAGTTTTAACCGTATAAAATTATTATTTTAAATCGTATATAGATAATTAAATATATAAATAATGTTATCTTTAAAAATTTTATCCGGATTATATTACTATATTATATTAATTAGAGCAGTTAAATGAGGAACGAAAGCTGACGATGATGAAGCATTAATCATATTTAATTAAGATTCTATACGTATATATATTATGTTTATATTCATTAATTCGCTTCCTAAATTCGGTTTTAAATCATTAGAGATGTTATATATGGTAAATAGAATATATGTAATGGTATCAAGTTATTTTGACCGTTTCTGATTTCGTTTCTTAGACTTTCCATGATGAAATTCCGGATTTTGAATCCCTTAGTGGGTCTTATTTTATCATTCTGGACATTTTGTGATATATGGAAGGTAAATATGATATATCTCTTATTGTATTTTTATGTTCGGGACGTGGATCCTTTTTCAAAATCATTTTACATTCCTTTAGCAAAAAGTTAATAGAAAATAAACAAGTTTTCTTCACTGTTAAATATGATTCACCCTTTTTTTGTAACCCCCTTTTACCTTTAAATGAAAAATGGATTGTCAAAATAAATGGTTTAAGGATGATAAGCTGTAGTACTGAAAAAAATAAAGTAAAAAAAAAATAATATCCTATTTTAGAAAATGAAGAGATAATTAGAGTTATCGAACTTTAAATGCTAGGCTATCGAATTACATCGACTCAACTTTAAGCGCTTAATCTAGTTACTTAAATATATTTTATCAAAAAGTTCCAATTAATTTACTACTTAAACAACCTAAATATATCTGTTTTCTTTCAAACAAAAGAAACCGTAGCTTTCTAGCTACACAGAATAATTTTACAACCCTCTTTGTTGACAAGTTTATGGCTTGACGCTGTTTGTAATAATTATTAAATCCAAAATATTTTANATTGACTATAAAAGTTTAGCTAACAGCCAAAACTGAGGTTACTTGTTAACTTTTTGGTGTGTTCAGGCTATACAGCATTTTGATTTTGAAGAAATAAAATAATTATAAAAATAATTTGAACACTACTATAAAAGAATTAACTGATATAACTGGTTTATATAATTAAATCTGATATTACTGTTATTTGGAACAATAAAATAATTTCTTTGATTACCCAACATTTACAATTATATACAGTATGTACTGTACATTAAGAAAAATCCATATTATATGCTATTTCATTATGAAGTGGAACAGAAATCAAATGAAATTGACATTAAGTCAGCATATTGTAAATGTTTTCATCTATTTAAAATGCTATTTTATTTTTGATTATTAATAGTCAGCAATTTTAAATTTTGTATAATAAAGTTTGCATTACAGTTTTGACAATTGATAATGTCAAAATTGTAATGTTAGTTTTATTAACTGCCATCAACATCTTTTGTAATACAAAACTTATTATACACAGAATAGGAAATATATCCTGATTAGGAAATCATCAATGTAAAATGTACTTTGAAACTTCAGATGATTGAAAGTGGAAAATATGGTTCTAGTGGTGTTAACATCTGTGGTTATGTGGTTAAAAGTTACCGGTTGTTTTTCAAAAATGGATCATCAAAATTGTGAGTCAGTGAGGGACAAGAAGGTCCAAAATTCATTCCCCAGTTAATATAAACCAATAAACATTGATGATTTCCTATTTGATATGTAATAATTTTGATATTACAAAGGATGTTGATGGCTGTTAATCAAACTAACAAACAACCAGACAGCAAATTCAAGAAAATTGTAATGCTTACTTCTGCAGCCATTTGATAACCATTGATAGTATGTTCTGATCCTCGCTCGTTACTTTTTCCCCAATGACAATGTATCTGATCCAAAATATATCTATTAACAGCTGGACCGCCTTCAAAATCTAAAAAATGCAAAACCAATATGATCGTTATAATATATCTTGGTGTATCATTTCTATCACAAATCTCACAGTTTTTGGTGCTGACGTATTCAACTGTCCATCCGTGGCCACTGTTGACTACCGTTTTAGAATATTTTTTATGGTAGCTCCATCTGATCTGGTTTTGGAAGAGCGATGCATCTGGTATGGCTAAGGATGGAACTATGTCCACTGGAGACTGTTTATTGCCAGATGCATTTGGATGTGTTTTGTACCAGTGATTAGGACCTAAAATAATGGTGTTAAAAATAAGTAATTAATTCAATAATGTTGGTTTATTAGTAAAATTTGAAGCGTTTTTTTAAGAAAAAATATAGTTATAAAGGATGGTTTGTATCAGCAACAACTTCATGAAGTTGTTGCTGATACAAACCATCCTTTATAAAGCATTGTTTTATGGATACATAGTAAGAAGCATATCATATGATAGAAAGAACTAATTTAATTATATAATATTAAATGATAAATATATCTCTTATTTATCATTATTAGTAATTCACATTTATTGATTATTTTCTAACAATTTATTTACATAATAGTAAACAATTACAAATTGTAAACATGGCATTCATCACAATTTTTATATAAATTTTTAATTCTGTACTATACAATTTATTTATATTGAAAGTGATACATGTACTAGGCAACCATTAGACAATATTTTTTTATATTGCTTCTATTAGAAAATAACCAGAATATTGACCGTTTCTATTCAAATCTATATACAAATGTTATAAATGAATTCTTCCAGAAGATCCATTCTTCTTATTAGTTATTAATCTTTTATACACAGGGAGTTGACAGTCTTTATATCGGTGGGAATGTCACTGATGTTAAACTCCACATACACGTGCAGTTTAATGGCACTAGAAATTATTTTGAACTTTATGAAAATGAAATATTTTTCTACTTAAAAAATCGGTAGAAAACCTTTCAACTAATAATTTTCAAATTTGTCTACACTTGAATTAATTCTAACAAATGGATAAAAGTCAATATACTGAAGGAATATTGACAGATGTGATGTATCATCGGTCCACTTCAGATCAATAAACATTAAATATTTTCGTAGCAAATATAACTTTTTAAATGTAAAGTTTTTATAAATGTAGTGTAATTAAACTTAAATGACGTCAGATTCCAGCCACAAAATAATGATTTTTCTGCAATTCCAAATAATAAAAATAAGTAATTTATTAATGAATTATCATCTTTTATTACTCATAAACTTATTTTATAGTTTAGTTTTAGATGATGATCTTATTGTTTCAAATAAAATATTTTTACTTTTCTAAGAATAAAACATAAAATAATAGTATATATAATTACATAACCGAAGATTGATCATCATAAGACCCTAGAGAGTAAGTAGCTCCTATAAAATATGTATTAAAAATTAATTATCTACTTTAAATGTTTAAAATACGACGTTTCGATGATGTAGCATTTTACTTTAAACAATTAATACAAATTCGAAGAAATTCTATATTACTGCTACGTAACTGAATATGTTGGTTTTTGTAGCATTTACATAGTTTTCTGCTTGGGGCCTTTCTGTTTCTACCCTAAATAGAAATACAGTAATTATGCATTAAATAAAATATTAAGCGCCAACTAATTTCCGACATTTTTAAGTCCATCATATGTTAATTCCCTATTGCATTTAGATGTGTCCATACTTATTCATAAAAATATTATGACTCATTTCATATTAATGGAGTATAAAAATGTATCTGTGTTAATAAATACCCATAAAATCTACCGGTTTACGTGTCAAAGCTAAAATTGTTTACTAGTTTTATATGCCAACAGCAAAACTAGAAAACTTCATACCAGATTAATTTTTAATACATTCTTATAAATAAAAGATCAGAATAATTGTTGATCAATTCATCTTTGCATGCAAATTGTAGAATTAATACTACAAGAATACTAAGCAACGCGTTACTTGCGGACATCGCCTGGTTCCTCGTATTTCCAATTTGTAAGAAGTTTCTGGTAACGAGTTAAAAACTTCCTGTTTGCAACTACTTTTTTAATTGCTGATCCCATTGAAAAGTTGCTATTACGATCTGATTTTAATGAAAATTTAAGAAGTAAATATAATATTTTTTTCGTCAAAAATATAATTGTAGGTAGACGTTTTCGAATATTTCACTAAATAAATCTTACCATTAATTAACAAACCCAAAACGCTGTTTGAACTTTAAAACTACGAACCAGAAATCGAAAAAATGTTTTAAATTCATTAGAATGATTTTAAATAATTGCATAAAATTTCTTTGTAATTTTTTCAATGCTTTATAATATTAATTTTGAATTATATATTTAGTGACAAATAAATAGATTAATATATACACAATTTAATTTCAATATTATGCATAGTAAATAGTTACGCTATTTTTACTATCACGATTTATTTTCATTAGGTTACTACTATAATAACAAATCTCTACGTAAATCTTACGTAATAAAAGACTTACCTATCGAATTATGTAAGGGGGCGCTTTTTTTTATGTTTTGCCGGACGGTTCTCATGATTGCTCACAACGTAAATTGTGGTCTAAACCTTCGCTACACTTAAATTGATTTAAAATAAAATTTAGCTGCGACTGATGATGAAACTAATTTTTTTATACTTTCAATTACTATTTCTGTTTTCAAACCAAACACGTAAATAACATAGCAACGGTATTAACTGTCAATAAATTGCGCTTGGCCGGCATCGCGTGGTAACCGGATTGGCAAACTTACCGTTATTTACACCGTAACCCCATTGGGTTATCATGGGTTGGACAACGTTTCTGTTCTGGAGTACGGCCAGACATGTTCCCATCGTGTTCCTCTTTAATTCATTTTCTCTTTCTATTATCTCACCTCTGATCTTTCCCGAATAACTAACATCTTTGGTCGAGCATGCGCTTTAAACACTTTCACCCTTCTTCCGGTAAACTTTAATGACGTAATTGTTGGGGTTGCTGATCACTTCTAATCAACAGGTTGTTATGGCAACCGATCTAAAGAACGGCATCGAGTATCAGTACGAATCCCGACTGTGATTGCATGCATTTAATGCGATCGATACCGCTTGTGGTTGCTTTAATTTTTAAATTTGCGGTTCGATTCGTATATCGGAAACAGGATGAACATCGTACCTTTTATGGTCTAACGAATGGCTTTACGTCATTCCGGTTCCGGTTAGTTTTATTCCTATTTTATAGGTAACTTTGCATGGTGGCTTTTTAAGTTTCGAAAATTTTCTGTCGTTTTCTTTTCTTTTATATTTAGTCCACGTTTCGTCTGCTTAAAAAATTTGTTTATTAAGAATATTGTCCAAAACATGTGTTATTATTTGCATTAATTGTGACATTATTTATAGGTCTATATACAGTAAAACCTGTATAAATCGGAATCTCGTAGTATTAAATATTTTTCCGGTTTGAACAGGTTTTACTGTAATATAAAATGTTGTTAAATTATTTTTCAAATTTAAAAAATCAGAACAGAATAAATATTTTTATAGCATTTAATGGAAGGTTTTTTTCTTTATATTTTACATTAAAAATATTTTTCAAACTTTAAAATTTATATTTTTTTATACATTAATATATATGTTTAAAGTGTTTATAGCCGTCGTAAGCTTTAATAGGATAGTTTTTTAAGCACTTAAAATTTAAATTTTATATATCAATTTTTTAGAAGAAAAAAATAAACTTTTTTAGAAAAGAATTACAGTAAAACCTGTCTAAAACGGACTTGCCTAAACTGAAAAATTGTTCTTCTTTTAAGAAAACCCTATTCAATACGGAAACCTGTCAAAACCGGAAAGATGTTCGATACTGTGCGATCCGGCTTACACAGGTTTTAATGTGTTTTAAAATTTGAAATTTTGAATTAAAAATTGTTTATTTAAATCATTAAGTATAGATGTTTACCAATTAAAGATTAATACCTTTCAAGTTAATCCCTGGAAGTAACCTCAAGCATGAGATATCCGCAGATAAGTTAACTGCAGACGTTTATAATTAATGATGTACAGTACAGTACTAGAAAATTTAGCTTCTACACGTTATTTGAATATGAATTTTATTTTAAATAATAGTAATTTAATAAAAAAAAATTATTTAAAATATTCTTCTAACGAATATTCCATTATTTGTAGATCATATAAAAAATTTAAGAAGATAAATTTGTATTTAATAGGCCTACTCATTATTTTTTATCATTTATTTTTTAATTTGTTAAATCTTCTATAATTATGTAAACAAATAAAAAAAAAAGATGGTTAAAATATTCTTAATTAAAATTTAATTGGAAATTTAAGTCACGACAAAAGCCGTACAGGACGATATCCGAAGCATTTTTTCACTCAAAAAACAGGGAAAAAATTATTTATAGGTGAATTAATTTAATATAAAATCGATTAAAAATAAAATTAAACTTAATGGTAATTAAGATACTGTTAGATAATTTAAAAATTAAATTCGAATTAATTTGTTTAACTTAATTCGTGTTATTTACTCCCGTTTGTAACTAACTTAAACACAGCATCCGACCCCAGTAGCGATGACGTAAATTCCAGCACCTTAAGTACTATTTACTTCCGTTTAATGACGTCACCGGAGCATTAGGTACTTCCGGTGGACTTCCCCTCTTCATCCCCAGATCGCCGGGATTAGGGAGGAGATTAATACGAAAAGGACGACGGGATACGACATGACAAATTGTATCTTTACCACTGGTCATGATGATATCAGTCGCCATATTAATTTTCTCGGATGATGAATGGTAACATATCTGAGAAGAACTTTTCCTTCGATTTTCTTTTCGGAAACGATTATCTTAATCTCTAATCTTTAATAGGATTGGACGTTTTCTTGGGAACTAGACGATAATGTGGAATTGGTTTAGTGGTCTTTTTTTTTTTCCTCTCCTCCTTTCACACACACATATATATATAAATATATATAGGCCTTATATAAACTTATCTGTTAGTAATTATAGTTGAATAAAGATAAAGAAAGCTTAGGAAAGAAGTTACAAAACTTCATTAATTCTTCGAACGTGATGTATATTTTTATATTTTTACTTCCTCCTGATGAAATTCTTCGTAAATTTAACTCGTCATTAAAAGGTTCAAAGTCCATTTTTTAATGTTAAAATTTTATTACGATAGAAATTAACACAGACAAAATGATTTTTTAATTTAAAATAGTTTGAAAGTTATTTTTTTAAAAAATAAATTATAAATAAAAGTTCTTAACAGTTCTTTAGAAGAGATAAAATTTCATTATCTTGCATTTTAAGCTTTCTTTGTCGATTAGTTTGAAAAAAAAAAGATAGTTGTTTGTAGTTAAAAAGCTTGGAAAGAATTCCTTTTAAAAATTTAAAAACTTGGCATTTAATTCTAAATTTTATATAACTCGATTATAAATGTATAAATTACAGTTAAATGTAATTAATTCGTTGAATAAAAAAAAAATACTTCAGGAGGGACGTAATTACTTTGAAACATAAATCGTATTTCGAAAATCCTTCTGATAAAAATTGACTTACATCAACTTTACTCATGGCTGGGCCACAGGAATTATCCAAGTTTGCGTGTAATACGGGTCTGACCGTCGAGTAATGGGCATTCCACTACTCTTGTGCGACATTTAATCAACTATAGGGCACCATGGCGTAAGCATATTACTAAAAATTGTTTTTCTGTTTAATAACATACCAAAATATATTCATTTTAATTGTTTTTAACGATTTAAATATACATTCGAATTCAAAATTTATATATTGATAATTTTTTAAATAAATAAATATTAAATAAAATATCTTTTTATAAGGATTAAATGTATCTACTGAAGCTAAATAAGTAGGAAATTGTATTTATTTTCTGCATAAAACACATCTATTATATATAATTATCGTATACAGTCGTTAAAAAGACAGAAAGTATCTACATCTGTCAATTATAAAGTATCTAACCAATCACCATCTCGAAAACCACGCCTCCAACCAATTACAGATAAGACGAGTTTCGAATACTTTCTTACTTATATTACAGAGTTCTGCCTATACTCAAAATAACTTTCTCATAAATTTATCTCCTGAATTTATCGAAATTAATAAAAAATTTTTATAATCTTATATTCCAACGTTTAACTTGAGTGTAAACACAAAATAATTATATAAAGTTTTATACTAGAAGTTAAAATTAATGAATTGCTATGAAAGAAAAAAATATTTGTCTGTAAAGAAATGTTTTGAGGAATTTTAAACATTTAAATATTAAAAAAAAAACAAATTAATAAATTCAACTTAATACAGTCAAACCTCTAAACAACGACCGCCGATGAAACATAAAAGATGGCCACTATTTAGAAGTTCGACTGTATTTCGTTTACAACTCAATAACTTTATTAACAGATCAGTGGATAATTAAGAACAAGGAATGGAAAGAAAAATCGATTAATCGAAAAACAATTAAGAGAAATCGATTTTCGTTTAAAAAGAATTAAAAAAAAACAATCAAATAATTGATGATGTAATTCGATTATTGGGAAAAACTTCTTTATATATATATATTTCTTTAAGCAACAAATTTATTTATTTCTTAAATAAGGTTTTTATTATTTATATTATTTAATTTAAAGTAAAATTTATTTAAATTTTCTAGAGTTTGATAAACAGAATATTAATTAAATCGAAAGACGTTTCGTATTTGATTGTTATACTTTCGTTTCCAAAATTACTTTCGCTTGAAGGTACTTTTACTTTATCTCTTACTTGTCATGGTTACATTAATCGAAGAATATATACATATATATGTATATCGAGTTTACTTCTAAATAACGGTAAGGATAATGACCTTTCGTGTTTCTTTAATAATAAATACAACAAAGAAGCATCAGTGCTCATTACAACAACAAATCAAAGTTTAGCCCTAACACAACTTTCATATAACCATAAATGTTGTAAAAATCGATTTAACACACGAAAAGGAAGTTATTTACTTAAAAACAGTTAAATATTTTAAAAATTTCGCCGGTAATTATCACGACTTTGACCACACCGCATGTAAGCGCGCGTTTTACTTTATAAGTATAGCGAGATCGCTACGCTTAGTTTTTCAAGTTTACAGCCTAGTCGTAATTTATTAAACTATTATCAGAATGAAAAGATATTAAACCGCAACGATAGCATGTGTCATCGTAACAAATTCGACTGACCTACTCTTAAAATTGCAAGCCAACTCGTAGCAACTGTCTTATTTTCTACCACAAGAATCCTCCAAACAGCTGTTTGCACTTTTATTAGCTTTTCGAATGACTCGAGTTAAATCGATTTTTTTTATTCTTCCTCCTTTCTCTCTCCTCCCTTCACTTTTATCTAGGAGTTACGAAAAAGTCGGTTTACCTAAGAAATCTAAAACCTTCACGCCAATTTTCTCAGTTGCATTCAATTCAATCCACTCTCATCTTACCAAAGATGATGAGTGGAGGAGGAGGAGGAGGAGGATGGGATGAGAAGGAGAAGGAGGAGGACTCTTAATTCTAGAATTTGATATAATTAAGTTTCGATTTCTTTATAAAAATTATATTTATTTTCACGAATTTTTTAATTCCCTTCGTAAATAAAAGGAATTCCCATCGATTAATTCCTATTTTATCTGTAGAGATAAAATGGCAG